TGTGCACAAACGCACACGCACACACTAGACACACGCAGTATACACACCCACACAAATGCGTGCTCGAGAACGTGCACCAGTGCGCGTGCACGCACAACATGCCCACCCACACACGCACAGGTGCCCAACATGCACACACATGGTAAACATTCCTCCAGCTGTGACTTCAGTGGGTCTGTATGAGGGACCCTTCCCTTAGGAGGGCTGGAGAGATGGCTCAGGGTCAAGAGCAGAATACATCTCCCCTATTCCTCCCCCGCCTTGGGCTCCTCTTCGAGAACTTTTCTCTGTGGCATTCAAGCCCTGCTGAGTGAAGAATCTGTGGTGATTACCGGGAGTGGGATTACAGCTGGCTTAAATTTTTCTCATGTGCTTATTTTCATTCTAGTAAATACTTTTTGAGGGCCTTCTATTTGCCAGATGTGTGCCTGCTGGGCACTGGGAGAAAACAGGAGCAACGCATACCCGACTCACAGACAAGAAAATCAGCGATGACCAGAATGTACCATGTGTTTTGGTGGGGGATGCCCGGCATTTACGGGTACCACAGAACAGATGCCTCCCGGGTTACTGCTTCCCGAGACTTCAAAAGGGAAGTCACTTTCAAGTTGAGACCCAGCAAATGAGTCATTGGCTTTTCTATTTAATTTTATTAAATTCCAGGGCCAACAAGATCGCCCAGTAGGTCCTTGCCATCATCACCCAAGTTCAACCCCTAGACCCATATGGTCAAAAGGATTGATTGGCGAAGGGCGGTGGTGGCACATACCTTTAATCCCAGCACTCGGGAGGCAGAGGCAGGGAGATCTCTGTGAGTTCGAGACCAGCCTGGTCTACAGAGTGAGTTCCAGGACAGCCTCCAAAGCCACAGAGAAACCCTGTCTCAAAATGCAACCCCCCCCCAAAAAAAGAATTGATTGACAAAAGTTGTTCTCTGACCTCAACCCGTGTAGTGAGCATGTGTTTTAAAGATTTAATTTTTAACTATGGTTGTGTGTGTGGAGGGAGGCATGCATGTGCGTCCATACACAGGGGTATGTGCACATTATTTTGGATGCATGAGGAGGTCATGGGTGCAGGATTCCCCGGAGCTGGAATTACAGGCAATTGTTAAGTTGCCTGACATGGGTGCTGGAATTTGAACTCACATCCTCTGCAAGACCAGTGCATGCTCTTAACCTCTGAGCCATCTCTCCATCTCTCCAGCCTGCATTTTCAAACGCAGGCTACATAGAGAAACCCTGTCTCGAAAAACAAAACAAAAAAATTTCAACTGCAGCAAAAACTACAAGTATGCTATGCTCCCTGATGCCAGCAATACTTGGTTCTTAAAAAGTAGTGTTGAAGAAAACTAACTCTAGCTGGAGGGTGTTGGGTCACCACGTGGCCTTGAAAGGGATGGAGGGACTCTACCCTCTTTATCTTGACACTGAGGTAAGGTTTCTGCCATGCCAGAATGTGATGCCTTGCCACAGGCCCAAATGATAATGTACGGAAAATCCCAAAACATAGAGCCAAAGCAAACCTTTCGACAGTCGATTATCTCAGTCTGTTATACTGAGAGATTCCTGTGCTAAGACAAGAATTATACTGCTAATGACTTTCCTGTAAACCAAGTGGAAGTACTGGATAGGATAAAACAAATGAGTCCACTGTGCTGTTCTAAGCCAAACCCTTTGCCCTGATGCAGCAGCTGTATTTGCTAACTGGAGTCCTCTAATGGGCCTAGAGGGCTCAAAGCTTCACTTGGAGGTAACACCCACGTTCTAGGCAGCTAATCGACAGCCTCTCTCTGCTGTCTTGGTGCTCTCCTCTGCAGAAGGCTGGCGTGTGCTGCTGGGGAGGCCGGTGTAGATCTGGCCGGCGTCCATACACCATGAGCCGTTACCAGAGAACTTGGCCACTGTGCAGAAACACTTGAAGTGAATTCCATGGGTGTGGAGATATCCCTGCAGTCTGCCTTTCCCTTCCCTTTTAGAACACATGTGCAGGAGCTGCCAAGACCCGTCGCACACAGCCGCAGGCACTATTTTTGGTTGTTGTTAGGGCTGGAGGCAGGGAGCCCTGAAATGGCTTTGCCTGTGCTGTCAAGTTCTTCTGCAAGAACTGCTCTTCCAGGACCTTGGCAAAGATATCTGCCTTCTCCCCTCCAGAACCAGGGCCTGCTTATGGGCCTGCAGCGTGACAATGCGGTATTTAAGTCAGCTTCCACACTGGCTGCCAACAAGTAACACATCTTTAAAAAAAGAAATAATTAAAAAAAAAAAAAAGGAGGAAATGTTTTCAGTCTCATTAGCTCTCCTCTGTTGTGAAGCTAGATCTACACAGCAGGATTTCTCCCCCACCCCCACCCCCATGGTGAATATTTCAAATGCAGTATCTCTCTATGGAGAAAGCTACATGAATAGCAACAGCCTTGAAGACTGTCTCCTCAGATAATTATTAAGGACTATTGTTATTAAGGGTGGAGAAACATGTCACAGGGTGAGGTTTGGTTAAGTAAAACTAAACCAATGTTGGAGACGAGCATTTTTAAAAAAAAAAATGAAAGACAAAGATGAGAGTGTTGTCCTCTTGAGGACTTCGGGGGCGAGGGAGAGGTGTGGACAGACCCTGGGGAGAGGCTGCAGTGGTTTAAGAAGGAGGAAGAAAAGGCCG